GTTTGAGTTGCAAATATTTGTATTAAGTTATTTTAGTATACATTACAGTTAGTTCTGTTACATAGCTGCTGTAGACCGATTACTGTAAAAATAATTTATTATTGATTAAGCCCGAAGGCCCGATCGAAAGTTCGCGCTAAAGCATTTACCGATCAAGTATCTCCCAGAGCTCCTTATACTACATCTTTTTAATCCAATCTCAGGTACATCATCCAAGCCATAGCTTATATTCCTTCCTCGTTTCTTTCACAGATGTACGGACATCTCAGGCGAATAAAAGGCACAAGAGGAGCGCAATTTACCGATATATCGTCGCGTCTACGTAGGAGTATCGATTTACCTGAGCGTAGGCACCGCCGCACGAGATATCGCACCCGAGACGGCGTATCCTTTTTTGCCATGTGCTGGCGCTCTCGTGGAATGTCGACAATCAAGAAATTCCAAAAAAATCGGCACTGCATCGGTACTGCGGAAAACCCCGCCAACCAACCAAGTCTCTCATAGCTATTCACCCATTCACGTAATACAGAGTTTTAAAAATCTCAACACTGCACTGTGTATCTCTGTAGCGCGAGCAGCATAGGTACACTCGAAGCTCTCGTCCTTCGCCCGCGAAACAGAAGACACGGTCATGAATCACGCTGGGGGTGGCGCTCAGGGACCGATCGCGATAAAACCGAGGCACTCTAGAAAATGCGCCGGCTCTAAGAGAGATAAGAAAGAGGGGGGGGGGCTTCTCCCTCGGAGTCGATTCAATTATTTCGCTTGGCTGGTCGTTGTGCTGCATCGGACGGACAAACGAGCGTAAAAGCTACATCGTCTCACATTAATAATCTCTATGTACTCACTTTTTTTTCGGCCACTACAGTGCACGAGCTATCCAATCATGGGATGGACCTTGTTTTTCTCATTCACCTCAGTCCCATCGCGAAACCGACGGAGATCGAGTGGCTCCCACTTTTCGCAAAGCCCATCGCACACGCTCTGGTCATCAATGCGACTACGGACAAAAGAGTTTTGACACTCAAGCTCGCGAGCACCACTGGCTCCGGAGGCTCATCCATGCGTGGAACCCAATGGACAAAAAGAAACGATGATATGGAGCACAGAAACGAGGCGGGAGCGTGACGCAGTTCACAACGGATCGCCAAAGCGTATACAACGGAAAAGAAGAAAAAAAAGCAGATCGATGCCTTCGGTGGGGGAGAAAAAGAGACATCGGTTGGCGTGCATTATGCATCAGAGCGCCTTGCCGATAACGTGCGCCCAAACCAAAAAGCCTTCTCCTCTTGCTCGTTCGCTCGCACCGCTCGTTGTCAACGTGCCAAAATCAATACTTTGCCCGATGCATGTGTCGGTACCCATATACCTACATATATACCCGTGTGAAACAGCTGTAAGGACGCCAACCTCGTGCAGACTAATGGGACATCAGCCGCGTGTGCGGCTGTAACGACTCCCCCCCCCCCCCATTTTCATTTTGCCGGGACTCGCGATCGATCGGTTGGCGCGTGTGCGTGAGAGTTTATGTTTCCACGCAATTATCACGTAGACATCATCCGCGCTAATCTGTTCCATCGACGACGCGATTGTGTCGGAGGGACCGTTGGATAATGAGTTCCATCTCGGCCGTGCAGTCGTGCTCTCTTCGAGGCTGCACGTGTGTTTTTTTAATTAAGACGAGACTGGGGCATGCTCTCCGGGGATCGATTTCGCATCAGAAATCGGCGCGGACTCTCGAGCTAAGACAATGCCGAGTGTCGAGTTTTTCCGTCCCATCCGGGACAGAGAGTGATATACCACGTGGATTTTATCGTCATTGTCGCTGTTATTATTTCATTGCTGCGTGGAGTGTTGAACGATGTTGTCATTCCGTAACGGCTGATTGTGCTTTAATTATCCACGTGAAAATTATCTTCTAAAAGTAATGGCAGGATCGATTAGGTAGAGGCAACAATGTACACTTTCCTTGTAGATGACGCACATTTTTGACGCTGAACGAAGCTTTCCCTCAATAATCATAGTTTACCAGCGCAATTCAGCGATAGAGGAACACGAAGCTAGAAGTACAACTATCTCGTCGGAGCAAAAGGTCGCATTGAATAATGGGAAAACTTGGGGGGGCCATTTCCACAAGGCAGCACGGCCTGAATCTCCGTGCTGATTCACAGTAAAACTATTTTTCGTCACAGCTATCGTTGTACGCGTGGGCGTTTCCTCTTCGGTTAACTTGCGAAATTGACTTGTCTCAGTTACTGCCGTACGTATATATATATGTGTAGGCCCTTTCAATAACTCCGCGTGGATGCGAGAAAGTTGACGCCAGTGTGCCTATACAGTCGTGAACCAAGTCTCAGAGTTTCGCTCGAGTAGGGGGTGAAAAAAAAACGACAGCCAACACGGCACGTTGATCTATTCGTGTCGATCCAAGCCCGATAAAAAAGCGTGTCTGACTCGTAAGTCGCGTTGATTAGCTCTCCCATCGACTTCTTTTCTCAGTTTTTTTCCTTTCTTAGCCTGCAAATACAAGTCTGTGGAAGGTCTACAACGTGATATTTATTTTCAACAAAAAAAAACCACCTGGGCGTTGTATACAAAAGAAAAGCAATCGTTCGCCCGGTAATTATACAAACAGGTCACTGTTTTTTTCAAATTCACCCAGTGCCTCTAATTTTAGCCACTGACCTGTTCGTGAGTCCACGCCACCCCCTAAACAAATGGGACATTAATTCACCGGCCACATAAATCCCCGTTTGACATACACAGCGTGACCTGCGCATTTGCGTCCCTTTTCCATTTGTCCTACCGTGAAAAAATAAATGCGAATTTCGAGGCGACTGGTACAGCAGCTTGTGCGAATGCGCTGGCTTTGATAAAACCCTCGAATGCAGCGAGTAGATACAGACAAGTCGAGTGGGACTGTACATTTTTTTCAACTTAATTTCGGACAAAGCAATTGCCTACGAAGGTAAAATCAAGTAAACGCGTATTATCTCAGGCCACTGAACGATTTGCAGAAAAAAAAGGAGGACGCGGAACTTTTATTAGTCCCCCTGAGGGAGATCCTTCAGTTTCCACTTTACCCGACTCCGCGCACTTGTTAATTAGACGCGGGCAGGTGTGCTTTTGGTGAAGGGGTTGGAGTCGAGAGACGCGAAACGAGGTGCACACGGGCTGACGCAGACGGGGGAACAGGACGCGCTCGATGAGAAAAATCAACAGGGACAAGTTTGCTTCTCCGAACGTACACACTCGCACAGCGCCGAGCAAACTTTCATCTGAATTTGGCACAGTTTGCTCCCTCTCTATTTTCCTGCTTTTCATTTGTAGTGTATTTTCCAGTGTATCTGTACCTCGAAATTTCCCCTCTCGCTTGTCCTACATCACCCACGGTATCCGGCAAGTATACGTATGGCACTAGCATATTATTATACTCGAGTACCGATTTCTACTATACGACTCCCTGTATCGCAAGTACTCGGCAGCGATCGTTTCACCGATACAATCCATCAAAACAACTCTGCGTAAAGCCACGTCGTCGGTACGGAAGAATCCGATTAGCCACCCCTTTTCCCCTATGGGCGAGGTGGCCGATCTTACATGTAGCGGTGTATTTGCAGGTACATGTATAGGTGCAACGCCAGTGTCGCCCTGTAATGCGATAATCGCGTTTGAGGTGTACTCTGATTCCCGCTCTCTGTATCAATCGGTCCCCCTCATAACGAGATCAGCGATGGTTGCACAGTCGCGACGGCGAAGGCTGCGTGGGCCACTAGGCGTCCTAGACCCTTCAAGTGCAAGCGGGGCTTACTTTGATTTTTTCTCCGCCCCTCCCCCTCGAGCGCAGAACAAAAAGCGAGGACGAACTCACTGTTTTCCGTTTGGTAGGTTTTCTTTCGATTTCCGCGAACGCGGCGGATTTTGTCGTTTCCGTCGACGCGGGGGGTGCCACCGAGCGACTTCATGCACTTGAGTGTATTTACGGGTGGTGCGACGGAAGAAGCCACGCGTCCTTGAAATGCCAACTGTGTTTCTCTAAAGAGGATTACGTTTTCACTCTTTGCGAGTGTTGGTTTTTTTGGGGGATGAGACGCTGGGGCTGTATGTAGCGGTAGTTCCGGCAAAACAGTCCGTGTCCGAGACCGTGAAACCACAACATGCGCGTATCGATCCTCCTTGGAAGGGACGGCCGACGCGAAGGAGCCAAAAAGCATTTCGGCCGACCTTCCCGCGGATGTCCTGGCACTCGCGTGCACGCGTCGGTGTGTACGTGTGTACCGGCCAGTGGGGGTGGGTCTGTACTTTCGACTTTCTTTGGATTGCGCGGATGAGATAGTGTGCACGGCACGATGCACCGTCGCTTGACTGCTCTTCGATTAAAAAGTTTGACGCGTACTGTTTCCGCGTGGTGTGGAATCGTTTCGATGCAAAAGCGACAGGCTGTCAGAACTTTTGGGAGTGGCTGCGGTTCGCGGAACTTGTTTGCTTTTAATTTCTCTTGTGGTGATTCACTTTGCATATTTTTTTTCCCCCCGCGTGACATGGCCCCAATTGTCAGAATTAGAAACTAACTTGTTCTTGTAAAAGTTAGACTTTGTTGTAACGTGATGCTTACGCGTCTCGTAAATTTTTGTGTAATAGCTATAACTACTGAAACATAATTTCAAGTAATACAACAAAATCATTAAAGTTCGTAATTGCTTTTTTTTTGCTGCTGCGATGGAAAACAAAATTAAGAGATGTCCGACCACGCTCGACTGTTTCTACTGAAAGTTTGGTTTTCACATGTTTTACCCAACTTTAACGTAATTACGTACCATATTTGTAAAATGTAATATTCCTGCACAAGTGTAAACCTCGTGAGGGCCAATTGTTTATTTAAAAGTGCAAAATCCGCGAGTTTCACGCCACGCGGAGTACAGCACGATTTACAATCCAGGGGCACCGCACCACGTTAGTCATAAAATTGAAATTCCTATAAACGTCGGTCCAATGATCGGCTACTTGACGCCCGGATACCTGCCGTAGATGCGCCCGCTCCTCGTCATCCTGTAGTAGATGTGCCTCTTCACGTGAAGGCACTTGCGCGCGCTCGAGCGCACCATGTGCGGTCCGTCGCCGGCTTGCAGCCGCTTCAACCGCGTCCTGACCCCCGTCCTTGGCTCCTTTGACGCGCTGCTGCAACTGCTCCGTAGTATCTTGGGCTGCTCAATTATCTGGTTGGGACGAGAAAAAAAAAAAAAAAAAATTCCACATCAATCATCGGAGCTTTTGACAATCCCTGGGAAAAGCTCACTTTCACGACACGTGAACGATGGGCCAGTCCGCCGTGTCCCCCCGCAACGGTCGGTTTACCCGGCCTCTGCAGCTGCTCGCTGTGCGGGCGAGGACTGGGCACCCGGTGGGGCTTCGGGATGAGCAGGCCGCCACGCTTGCGCCTGAGGAAACGAAAGGCCGAGTCCGAGCCGAAGGCGAGCCTCGCGAAACGCCTACCATACCTCCAAAGCAGGACCGCGGTGGTGAACCACGCGAGGTAGGGCCCGGCCTTGGGACTGGCTGCCAGGGCGGCCGGCTGCCGCGACCAGAGAAACAGCATCTGCCGAGGACAACGGGGTTACGTATGTACATCGATCGACGGCTGAGCTGCTTTTCTCTCGAGCAAAGGTGTAAAGCGATTAAGGGGGGAACAAAGAGCTTGATCCACTCGAGGTATCAAAGTCGCGACCGTCGTCCGTTCCGAGGCCCTCCAAGGTTAATGTCAAGCGTAATTCCGAGGGCAAAGGTGGCGGAAGGAGCTCCCCGGTTTTTAATGCCCCCGGAAGGCTCGCTTCTTTCTTTGGCGCTTAAGGCTTTGCGTGCACGTCGATTGGAGACGTGGGACACGTATACATGACCAGGGTTGTAACCTTCGATCAAGTGAGCGGCTGAGTTGGAGAGATTGGGCGGGTAAAAAGGTGACCGTCGCCTATACTGCTACTCCAGGGCAAACTTACCTCGGTGAGCAGATAAGGCGATCGATCATATTTTGGGTGGTTTTTGAAAAATCAATTTCTTTTTTTTTTTTTTTTCCCTCCCACGCCAAGTAGGAAAGGGGAGTAGATACCTTATGCTAATCAAATGGGACTTTTATCGCGGAACGTGACAGTTCATTAATCATTTCTGGCACGAGCATAGATTTATCGTGGCTTATCGATGGGGATTTACATAACTCTGTCCCTCTAGTTGGGAAATGTACAGTGGGGATTGAAAAAAAAAA